GAACAATTTCAATTGGTGCATCCTTTATACTGTGAATAAACAATATAAATAGGACAACTGCTTTTTGAACATTTGTGCTCTGGTTGTCTATTGTGGCTTGGTGAAGATAATTACTCATGAGTAGTCTGATGCTGGGATCAGAGTTGTATGATCCCCCAGTGCACCGTTAAAAAACGTTCACTAAGGTGCTTTGGTGTGGTTGTGCAGGGTAATCTCCAAGATGCAGACCAAAATGTGCATTAAACAATGAGGACTGAAGAGCTCGAGTATGCTTATATCATTTGTTGCTGAAAGAAGGGCCAATTGAATTGACCAATTATTGAATGATCCTGACAGTCTGTTACAGGAGAATTACCCTGGGTCATTAGACTTTTTACCTGCAGGGCGTGTCCTTAACATTGTTCGATCCGACTTTTATGAAAAGATCTCACTAATTAATCAGAAAATAAATAAAAGTCATTGATTCGTTTTTGGAATGGATTAGAGATCGATGTATGTTCGAAGAAACACTGGTATCAGCCAATATTTCCGGAGTTACCACGACTTCTCATGATGCAAAGGGTTCCTATTTGAGACAACTTTTCAATTGCTTGATTTTTATTTCCATGGGTCAGTCATTAGTTTTGATTTCCAAATCATTTCTGCGAAACCGAGGCTTATTTCAATTAATTTGAAGGCGATTCCACGTGAAACCTTTATCAAAATGTGGTTTTCGGTAGCATGAAATAGTTAGCAAATCCACTTACCGATCCTCAGGGGTAGGTTTGAAATTGGTGACCGGATGCGTTACTCGGGTGACCTCTTCCAAGTGACGCAGTTGTGTTGTGGCTACTTCACGTAGCCAACGCAGTCTAGAGGTGGCCTTTGCCGCTGCCTCCGCCTCGTACTTAGTTGCTAGTGCATCCTCTTCCTGATCCCTGAAATACAGAGCAACAGGTAGCAAGCAGCAAAATTTAAACGAAAAGTTATTTAGGCCTTTTTTACGATTTCTAAACAATTTCTATCAGTTATATGGGTGAAGTTCCCTTCATAAAACCTGAATGCATCTGTTCACTTTGTGTGATCCTCAAACCAAACAGCCGGTTATTTGAGTCATTGTGGAACAACATTAGACACAGAAAATCATTTTCTTTAACCGCATCTAACCTCACATTACTCATTCCTCTGTCATGATGTGCTCTCCATTTGCTGTCTGATAATATGCCCCAGGGTTGCATGTTTGTGATGTGGTTTCACTTACCCTCTATATGCTTCATCCGATCACATTTGATGAACTTGGCTCAGCTATTGCACTGTGATTCTTTATCACATCCTCTTCTATTTGTGCTTTTACTTCATGGATTTATTTTCATTCACTTAATTCTCTGGCGAACTGTTATTTCCAAGCCGTCAAACGAACTCTCACGTGTCTCTTGCGTGACACGGTGACCCTCAGTTAACCTCTGATGATGACGCGTTTTTAATTCACTATTTCTTTCTTTCTGTCACTCATTTCCCACCAGATTCCCCATAAAGAATTTGACACAGCTGTAACGAATCCATTTTATTTGCTATCTGTTGGTTTTGGCTTGACACTACATTTATTGAATGGAAATCTATTCAATATATGCGATCAAACCAGTGAGGACCGATGTTGAACTGCTTAATGTGAATACAGTTAAATTGATTACGGTGTTCTGATACAGCATATGTTGTTAAAAAAGCTCGTTATGTAGCGTGAATAGAAGAAATAGTTTGTATGGATCATTGAGGAGTTAAAAGCACGTTATTGCCATTTCCGACGTAGCACATACTTGCGATGTCAGAAAAAAAAGGTGACCATTCTGCTTCCTCCGCGTAGAATCAAGTTACTGACTGAAGTTAATTTTCAACAGCCCAGTGGTTCCGACTACCATAGGGCAAGATATGTCTGAACTCACCGTATCCTAAGAAGTGTACGCTTTAACAAGCATACTTTTTACGTTTTCATCATGTGAATAGAAGGAGAAAATATTTCCCGAATCTTTTTAACTGGGCTGAGAAACATTCAGATTACTTGATGAGATGAAATTGACTAGTCGAAACGCCCATTTGGCCTTAAATGGATGCGTACAGTTTTGTAGTTACACTTTTCCCGATGAACGTATGGTGAACGCTAAACTGAGTCACGTTCTGACCAGTCTTTCACAGGCTAAATTTAAACATCACATGAGTACAGTAAGTGCAAAACACAAGAAATTATTTTATTTAGACAAAATCGTCAATGAGTTAGATATTCACAAATTTTTAGCTCACCTAGCATCTTCCGATGCTTGCCACTTTTGCAACGCAGTAGCTTCATCCACGTCTTTGGAAGTCAGTGCCGACGGAAGGACACCAGCCATATTGGTTGGAGTTGCATGCCCAGACTTGGTTGCCCGAAGACCAAGCTTAATCTGCAGGCGACGTTTGCGTGCTTGGCGATCACGGAAATGTCGTAGAAACAGCTAAACAAGTAGTGTTCACAGTGAACGGGAAAGTATTTGAAAATGAAAGGTAAGAAATGGGTTCAGTGCGTTAGACTCTATTTCTATTGCATTGGACCCAGTGGCCCTTCTTTTGATTATTATAACGGTGTATGAAGCGATTCGTTGTTCAGTCTCCTCTTTCTGCGAGAATTAACATTGTGTAATTTAATTGGTCCCACCTGCAAAAATTACCTGATATACATATTTTAATCATGAGGTCATCTTTATTGTTTCCTTTCTTTTACTGGTGAATGGACTTCACCCGGTCCCAGTCATATTACATGATCTGAGCCCAGGCAATTTTCATGTGTCGAACTGCTGGGTTTTAGGTATATTTTGCTTCCCTCAACTTGATTAATTCATTCATATAACTTTGTTCCTCTATTTGCTTTTTCCTCTGACCGAATTCAACAAGCATGTCAAGTGCATAATTGATTTCAGTTAAATTTACCCTGTACAACACATCACTCGATCCTGGGATTCATCTCGATTCCTCTAAATCTCAATTAGTGTTCATCGCAAATTACAAATAACAGTTGATCGATCCGAGCCACAAAAGTCGAGCTTATGAAGCGCATTAATATTAGCAGCATTCCTAAACAAAGTAACAGGCCATGTGATGGCAATGTGAGGTCTATCAAACATGCGACTCCAGAATTTATCCAAACCCTATAGGACAGTGCAATCGGTGTGACATCAGTATTACTCAGTTCTATCCGCTAGAATAAATACAATCTATTATGATCTACTTATACAGCTCGTATTTAGAATTTTCTCATGCGTTTTCATTTTAACTAAATCGAGTCAATAATTCACGCAGATATTGACAGGGATTTCTTATGGAAATAGAACCCAAATTTGGAATAACCCGGAGAGAATTTTGAGAAGAGACCGATGAAATACGATATTCTGATTTCCTCGGGGACATGTGCGTATGCGAGAAACGATCGGGAGGAAAAATATAATTCGATGTCCCAATATTAATAGATAAAATCAGAAGCGTCGGAAAGAGTTGATGAAACTTAGAAAGTGAAAACTGTGGAGGTAAAGTTCCGTGAATTTCATATATGAAGGATGAGTTCGTTAATAAATATTTCCCAACTTCGTTGTAAAATTCAATGAATGATCAAGAGTATGAGGCTTACTATTCCCGGATTGAAATTTTGTTGAGAAAAAGAGTAAGTAGACGTAAAAATCGTTTGAAAAAAATGGACTGTAAACACCGCAGCCTGATACTCATGCCAGAAGTAGTGGTGAGTTATTTCTAATTGCAAAAGTTTCATTTCAAGCGATCAGTGCTTCACTAATGTTTTTATCGGATGGCGATGTTCCCGCTTCGATCACGACGTTTGCAATCTACGGGCGATCACAAATACAGACGGTTTGGATTACTGCGAAACCGATTATTATTAATTCAGCTGAAGCACGGGGCTGTCTGGAACAGTAGTGAAAATGATCGGTGGTGGGGGGGTGTGACAATAGTGATAATGTCGGTGGAATCCAAGCACACCAATTCCAGGCTGCTGCAACGGGTGACCCAATGGTCTGACTTTCACCGGAGAGTGAATAATTGCTTACACTGATTCACACTTATGACCACGGAAATCAACAGAATTTCTGTTCGAAAGGAAGTTGTTATCATCAGGTAGTAGGAGATGCGAGCAGAGGTCACTAGAGTCAGTTTTGATGGATATCTTCATAGGATACTTGGTAAATACGACGCTGCGACAATGTATACAGAACATACACTTCTATGGCTGTTATGTTAGTGATACATTGAACGTAATGAATGACAATACACATACAGAAGTAATGCTTCAAAAACGCACTCAGTCACATCGCAATATTGAATTCACGGTTTTGCATGAATGTGAAGTCTATTTTGCTATTGATATTTTTATCTGCCTACATCTACAAACTGTCATATATTCCCGGAACACAAAATAAAGTGGCTGATGCTATGAGTCGCTCGCCTTTCCCGGATGCACCAGAATACGTATCAAACCAATGGAATTAGTGAACCTGGTGCAACACGTAGACTGTCACCTTTTTGGATATTCGTCGAGAGACTGAACGGGATATCACATTGACTAAAATTAAACGTTTTCTAAGTCACGGATGGCCGCGAACCTCCGAAGGCAAAGTCGCTGGTTACACCCAACGAAGGATGAACTAATTCTTGGAGACCGATGTATATTATGGGCTCACGCATCGTTGTTCCACCTAGCGTACGACTCCAGATACTCGCAGAGGTACATGCAGCGCATCCAGACATTCGCAGGATGAAATCACTGACCCGAGTTTATGTTTGGTGGCCTAAAATGGATTGATCGACTAATCCGGACATGTGAGGTATGTCAACGGTTTCACCAGTTCCACTGAGTCCTTGGAATTGGCCCGAAAAATCGTGGCAGCGGGTTCATGTAGATTATTTTGGTCTGCTCGACAACTGCATGATTTTACTGATGATTGATACACAATCAAAGTGGATCGAAATTTATCCTGTGTCCCACGCTAGTTCGGCGACTACAGTAAGTTGACTGCCTAGATCATTCGGTATTCCACAGACTCTGGTGACCGATAACGGTACTCCGTTTACCAGGGAAGAGTTTAAACAATTCGTCCAGAGAAATGACATACGTCATGTCAGAACTGCCTCTTCCCATCCAGCCTAAAATAGGCTGGCAGAATGAGCCGTTCAAACCGTCAAACAAGGTTTACTGAAACAACAATCTGGAACGATAAGGACCCAATTGGCGAAGTTCTTATTGTCATATCGTACAACCCCAACAGAAAGCACGGGAAAAAGTCCGGCGCAGCTAATGTTTGGATGTAAACTACGAATGAGAATGAGTCTCGTTTTTTGAGAACCAAGAGCTGATATTATGGAAAAACAAGGAAAAATGAAAGATAGATATGACGATTCAGCCAAACATAGGAAATTCGAAGAAGACGACCTAGTGTACACGAAATTACCATGTGAGCCATCTTGGGAGCCGGGGCGTAATGAGGCGCACTAACGACCAGCAAAGTGGAATCGAGCTTTCGGACGGAAGAATAGTGACACGCCATAACGACCAAGTTCGTGCTAGACATGTACCCGAGGAGAAACCAGACGAAACGACACCTGTCATTGAGAATAATTCCACATGAGGAATCAGCACCTGAACAGACTCTCCGCCAATCAAGCAGAGAAACCAACCCAGTGGACAGATATCAGGCAGGATGAGGTCTAATCACACAAAGGGGAATGGAATGTGACGTGCCAACGTCAATTATGCCGTCCCACTCGCCGGTGATTATCAGACGAAGACCAGTGTTTACCTCACCCACATGCATATGCACACACGCGGGCTCTCGCCTGCTCGCACACGCACGCAGACTCCGCACCTCATTCCTATTGGTTAGTCATTGTCCTACTGTAGATTGTCATGTGACGCATGATTCCTTCACTAAAGCTACGCGCTCTGGACCGAACGTGTTCTGTGCCCTGTTCTCCGAGCTAACTACGGGTTAGCTTGTTTGCGACTGTAACAGGGTTTGTGTATGCGATGTGACACAACCGTGTCAGATTTCCTACGAGATCTCCCACAGTCATGCCATCGTGATTAACGTAGCCGTGTTAAAACAGACGCCTTCTGTGCGTGCGACCTATGCAAGGCGCACTTGAAGTGTTAGCACGATAGGTGTCTGACTCGCATAAGGAGTAAGTCAAATCAAGTCAAGTCAATTAAAGCTTTATGCACCCGATAGGATGAATTTTCAGCATTTTCGACATGTTACAGTTGGAAAAAAAGTTAAGTATCAGAAAAAGAAGAAATATACATTTACTAAATGACAAACAGACGGGTTTACGTAAAATCCTAATGTGAGAGATGATTGTTCAAGTCAGCAAAACTATTTGCTCGGTTGATCAACATGCGAGCAAAATAAGGGATCATGCTGTTTTTATGTGTGGTGGTGCGTGCATAAAGAATCCGAAATTTCCGAACGGGTACTCGGATGAGAGACCGATTTATTGAGATAGGAGTGCAGGCATTGTTCTTCGTTGGACAGGATAAGGCTGATAAATCGATCGCATGAGTCAAAATGCTCGCTCACAATAAAGTCAACCAAAACTGTCTTTGAAATGCCGCTGCAACGAGAAACAAGTTCAAGAGATCTGGAGAAGAGAATAGTCTTTCTCCTTCGGAACAGGAAAATATACGGGGGAACAGTACAACCAATGTGGAAGAATGCAAGCGGTCACAAATTTATGAATGACATTTGAGGGAACGCCGAGCTTTTTAAGCCTAAAGGCGTAGAATGATAGCTTACGAACCCGAATACAAATGTTTTCAACATGCTTGGACCAATAAAGATTGTGACAAAGTAACTCCAAGATATTTCACAGAGTTTTACCATTAGCAGAAAGTTCAGGCTGATTATTCAAAAGGGTTTGATAAGGCATGCTTGTTTTAAGGCTAAAAGAAACATCCACACATTTATCTACATTTAGCAT